GACTTGGGAGAATCGCCCTTCACCTCGGACGTTTTGGAAGCACCGATCCCTCCGAAGTTCAAAGCTCCTATCGTGAAGCCTTATGATGGGTCGAAGGACCCCAAGGATTATGTTGAGGTCTTTGAAGGCCTCATGGATTTCCAAGCGGCATCAGACGCAATCAAATGCCGCGCCTTTCAGATCGCGCTTACTGGCAGCGCGCGATTGTGGTATCGGAGACTGCCAGCCAGGTCGATCTCGACCTACTCTCAGCTGAGAAGGGAGTTCCTCGCCCAGTTCTCTTCTCGACATTATGACAAAAAGACAGCGACCCATCTCGCCACCATCAGACAGAAGGAGGGTGAGACGCTGCGAGAATATGTCACCAGATTTCAGGAGGAGCAATTGAAGGTCGCACACTGCTCCGATGACTCGGCCATGTGTTATTTTCTCACCGGTCTAGCCGACGAGGCCCTCACGGTGAAACTTGGAGAGGAGGCCCCGGCCACCTTCGCCGAGGTGCTTCAGAAGGCGAAGAAAGTCATCGATGGACAGGAGCTCCTCCGAACTAAAACCGGCCGACCAGAACGAAAGATCGGCCGGGGCAGAAGTGGAAAAGATATAGAAAAGGCAGATCCCAAGTCCAAGGACAAGGGATCCTTTTCCAGCGGCCGAGCTGAGTATCGAAGGGCGGAGAACGGACCTACCAGGAACCGACCTTACGAACGCTTCACCTCGACCACGATTCCAATTTCTGAGATCCTAACGAACATCGAGGAGTCTGGAATGGAAAAACTACTCAAGCGTCCTGAGAAGCTTCGGGGAGCCCTGGAAAGGCGCAGCAAGGACAAGTATTGCCGCTTCCATCGGGAGCACGGCCATAACACGTCGGACTGCTGGGAGTTGAAGCGCCAAATTGAGGATCTAATTCAAGATGGCTACTTCAAGAAATTTGTGGGAAAGCCCAGGACCAGCTCGGCAGAGAAAAAGGAAGAGCAGAAGCGTTCGAGGACGCCGCCTCGGCGCACTGACCGACCTGCAGTCATTAATACCATTTTCGGAAGGCCAAGCGGGGGTCAGTCCGGACACAAAAGAAAGGAGTTAGCTCGTGCAGTCAGACGCGATGTGTGCATCATCAGGGAGAGTAGAGGCCGACCTGCCCAATCACCTTCGACAGTGCAGACTTGGAGGAGGTCCACCTGCCCCACAATGACGCACTTGTGATCGCTCCCTTGATTGATCATGTGGTGGTCAGAAGGGTGCTGGTAGACGGAGGCGCATCCGCTAACATCCTATCCTTACCGACCTACCTCGTCCTGGGATGGACGAGGTCGCAATTGAAGAAAAACCCGACACCGCTGGTTGGGTTCTCTGGAGAATCGGTCATCCCAGAAGGTTGCATCGACTTGCCGGTCACACTTGGGCAGGACCAAACTCAGGTCACCCAAATGGCCGAGTTC